AAGTCAGCCCACAAGAATGTCCAACAATGAAAACCGTTATTGATTCCCCTTGCTTGATGTGGCCATGTCGGATGGTTCATTTGGTTTACAAATGAATCGTGAAAGAAGCTAAACCGAGATCTTATCCGTAAATATTTACCAAGAATCAAACAGCCATTACGGACTGAGAGACGGACAGGTAGGAGACGCGCCCGAGCCGCCATTCATACAGAACAACGACTTTGATTGGTCAAACAATGTATCCCGAATGTCCTTGAACAGCGTCTTTTCATTGGTCCAACAAAAGCCGTTATCCTCTACATCGTCTGTTGGTTGGTTCAACAATAGAGATTAGATCCAGTGCAGGGCTGGATGAGTTCGTAAGCACAGGTTAAACTCGCAAAGCGTGTGATCAGATATGTATTATTCATTATGCATTCATTGTACTGATATGCGGGCGTTTGCTTGACTTAAGGAAGGGCATGGTACGGCTTCTTGAAGAAATGCATGTACCGTGTAGGTACCATGGTTATGATGGCCATGGTGTTATTATAATAGAAACAGTTCGTGTACACAAAGTGAATTATTGAACTGTACATTGTCATTCTATAGACAGTCAGAAAGTGCGTGTTTTCTGTCAGGCGAAACATTAAACTTGAAAATTGATGATTCTCCAGTTGTTTGAAGATCAGGTTTCAGAGCGAGAATGTGTTTTTCTTTTTTTCTGAAAATGCATTCTTGTAACTGTGCCTTGTAGCTATAGCAACGTCAGTGTGGAACTGCGCCGTGAAGTAAAATAATATATACAATTTGAGCATAGCTTAGACAACAATTTTACTCAATGATACTTCTTTATACAATGTAAAATAATAATGTCATTATACAAGAATTGTTTCATATACAGTAAAAATAAAAATGAAAATAATAATAACGTAATTTTGTAAAAATTGTTTCATGCACAAAATAACCTTATTGGCATCGGTATTTTATATTTGAGTATTGCTTGATGACTTTTAAATTATTTTATTTAAGTGATTATCACTTTTTCAGCAAATGCTGTTTCATATCATCAGAAATAATGCTCATCTGTTATCTGAATACACACGTTTTATGATATGCATTCACGCCTTAGTTACATTTAATCAGGCTCGCTGACTTGGTTGATACATGTCATAGTATCCCAATTGCGTGGATCGATGCTCATGATGTCAATCACATGATTGTCTAGTGCGGACTCGATTATTTTACAGACCGCCATCATATAGCGGGAATATTGCTGAGTGCGGCGTTAAACAACAAACAAACAAACAAAAGTTACATTTAATCACAAATAATGATCATTTGTCATATGAATGTACGCATTATATCACACGGATCAGCATACATGGCTTCATATTATCAGAAAGAATTTGTACACGTCCAACGTTGGTGAGGCAACGCTTGCATCAGCTGTTTGAAACAACAGATGACGCGGACAACGACAACTATAGTGAGTGAGTGAGTTGTGTTTAACGCCGCTTTTAACAGTATTCCAGTTATATCACGGCGTGTCAGCTTAATGTGGGAGGAAAGCCCGAAGTGCTGTCCAACCTAGAAACATAATCGGGGCGAACCGGGGATTCGAACCCTCAATCATAGGTTTCTGGCGTGTCCAAGGGACGCAACTCTGCACAGCGAATTGCGGCGCCTTAGACGACTGGGCCACCCGTGCCCCCTCGACAACTATAACCATGATTATGGTGTACTCATGGTGTACTCATGGTGTACTTATCGGCCTGTGTGGGAGTGGCGGGTTCTGCCGGTAGGGCGGGTCATGCAGGCCCTTTTCGCGTACACCTGGTGTCACCACTAATTTTTATTATCCATTCATATAATTATGATTCCCAATGGAATCCGTTTCGGCGGATATTGGATTCGATTTTGGATTTGGATTTATATATTTCCACGATGATCATGTGACAAATATTTTAACTTCACCTCATCATTTCACATCCAACCAAACAACTACATATCCAAACACATCCATAATGAATACAAGAATACACACACTATTGATCTTTTAGATTCTGTACACACTTTTAGAGAGGTCTACTTGCTGAACACAGAGAGTGAGTGAGGTTTTACGCCGCTTTTAGCAATAATCCAGCAAAATCACAGCGGGGGACACCAGAAATGGGCTTCACACATTGTACCCATGTTGGGAATCGAAGCTAGTCTTAACGCGTGGCGAGCGACCACTTGACCCACAAGGCTATCCCGACGCACGTTGGATAAAGGGAGAGTATATAACGAATAGTGTGAAGCTACCATTCCTTCGTCAGTTTAGTATCAGTAAAGCAAACACAACGTTGATATAGCTCTCCAGAACAAGCCAGCTGTTGACAAAACGTGAGTATCAAAGTAGTCCTACTACAATATTCAAACACATCTGTGCCTGGGGCGGTCGGGTAGCCTAGTGGTTAAAGCGTTCGCTCGTCACGCCGAAGACCCGGGTTCGAATCCCGACATCAGTACAATGTGTGAAGCCCATTTCGGGTGTCCCCCGCCGTGATATTGCTGGAATATTGCTAAAAGCGACGTAAAACCAAACATGTTCCTTCGAGATAAACTGTAGGGCAAAAATGCACACTTGAAAATAGATTTGACACAAACAATTACTAACATTATCAAAAACGTTACTCGGCTAAAAAGACGCCGAATTAATTCACAGGTAAGGCCTAAAACACAGCTATGATACCCGTATAAGTACACCACCATCGAATAACAATTTCTTATTTGTTTCATATTTAGCTACCTTCACACATGGGTGTATATTTTCTTTTCCCCGGGGGCGGTTGGGTAGCCTAGTGGTTAAAGCGTTCGCTCGTCACACCGAAGGCCCGGGTTCGATTCCCCACATGGTACAATGTGTGTATCCCATTTCTGACTCACTCACAGTATTTAGTTACTATGAACCTGAGAATGCTGGGTTTGTTTGTTTGTTTTATTACACTCAACAATAGTTCAGTAATGCGACGGGGTTTATAAATAATCGAATATGGACCAGGCAAACCAGAGATTGATATCATGAACAACGTCCCAGGAAGGCGGGGTACGATCACATGCAACCAACCAAGCCACCTAGTCTGACCACATGATCGATTTAGACGTCGCTAACGACCAGTATAGGTTGATGTTGCAAGACATCCAGCCACATTCACCCCCACTGCCATCCACACCCTCTCCCCCAATATGAAATGGTTGGCCCCTAACGAGGTTTCATCGTAGACAGCCAGGCAGATATTGTACGTGACGTCTCACTTAAATGTACAGCCTTAAAATAGAAGCAAAAAAGTTAAACATAAATAAGCACATGAATCAATCCTTATGTAATTATGTATGTATTTGCACAATAAATATCAGACCCGTGAAGATCCAGGCTGTTGTTTAACGCCGCACTCAGCATGTTCCAGCTATATGACGGCGGTCTGTAAATAATCGAGTCTGGACCAGACAATCCAGTGGTTGACATCATGAGCATCGATCCACGCAAATGGGATCTTTGACATGTATCAACCAAGTCAGCGAGCCTGATTTAATGTAACTAAGGTGTGAATGCATATCATAAAATGTGTGCATTCATATAACAAATGAGCATTATTTCTGATGATATGAAACAGCATTTGCTGAAAAAGTGATAATCACTTAAATAAAATAATTTGAAAGGCCAATAAGGTTATATTGTACATGAAACAATTTTGGGGATACGATGACATGCATCAACCAAGTCAGCGAGCCTGACCAACCGATCCCGTTTAGTCGCCTCTTACGACAAGCATAGTCGCCTTTTACAGCAAGCATGGGTTGCTGAAGACCTATTCTACCCCGGATCTTCACGGGTATTCTGTAATGCTATGATTATAGAACGAAACGTGTACTGGAGACGTACGTTTCTCAACTTGCTTTGTGTCCAAACATTTATCTTCACATTAAAATATGTCAACATATAATCATATTTATCGTTAAGTGTGTAAAAGACACGTTAAAGACATAAACAGACGGACAAAAGAAAGCATACGCCATGTTTGATGGTGGCTTAAATTGAAACAAAAAAGCAGGAAATGGTTATTCGATGGTGATGTGTTTGATACGGGTATTATAGTTATGTTTTGGACTTTAACTCTGCAGTATTTCAGCAACTGTTTTCAGCGTTGTATTTTCGCCCTTACGTTTGTGGTATTTCAGCAACTGTTTTCAGCCTATTATAACATTTTGAGAACGTTGTAACTTTATTTGACTGTCATACAGACCATGAAAAAATATATTCAATACAGCCCATGCAAGTCTATAATAGTGGGCAAGTCTAGATTACTGAAGTCTCAGGATGAATGGTGTCCCGGGGCTCCATTTAATTATATTTTATTAAGATAATTTAACAAATGTTGTTTTTTTTAAATATGTTCATTTCAGAGACTAGATGTTAGTCTATAACTTGTTGATCAAATTCATTTTTTGAGTGTTACTTTCCTTTACATGGCAGTTAATAACATCAGGCTTGAAATTGATATTTCTTTCAAACATCGTGTGTGATGTTCTTTATAGATATTGTACTTGTATCAGCCTATTTAGCAAACACCCCAAGGCTATGATATCAAGTTCTCCCTGGATATATAGTCTAATACCGTGGCACATCAAACATGTACAAGAACGAGCCAATGTCGCGAGCGGGGCACGAGGAATATTCCCACGAGGCAATCTCGCGACCGCTACAGCACGTGTTCGACTGGCCAATACTGGACGCTTGACCGGTCACGTGAAACACAGGTATAACTCCCGACTTGGGAGGGGTTAGGACGGGGCAGGGCAGTGTGGTCAACCTGAGACGGACAGAGCGTCCAGCTTGTATTGATAGCCTGACAATAGCACCTGACCATTCTGTCTGTGGTTATTAGATCAACTGGTGGTTCTAGAAGACGGCTGTGATCTCAAGGGAATCTGCTTGCTTGGGTAATACGCTTCAGTAGGGGAAACAAGAATTCAACATGACTGGAGTAAAATCAGAGAGGGTAAGTTTTAGTTTATTTTTCATGTAGTGTAAGCAATGTTTATCTTTAATTATAAATTTATTATTTAAATGAAGAAATTTTAAAAGTATAAAAATAAGTATCTTGTATATTATTTTGGCGAATAAAATTATGGGTTTGTTAAAATAATTTATTTTTACATTTCTATAATGAATACATTTTATATTAAAGAGTATTCTTTTTAAATTGATAATGGTTTTTTGGTATGTAACATATGTATATGCATAACCATGACTTCTTCTGTGTCGATGTTGTCCCGTGTTGAGCGTATGAATACTGTGATGGTTTATAATAGTGAGGTATTTACGTGAATTGATAAAAATCACATTATTGTGTAAACTGTTCCCTGCAACTGTTACACGAATGACGTCATTTCATTATCCCCATGTTCGCAAAATCCGTTATTAACACGTCATCTGTGGAAATATGATTAAAATGTGTTTTAGCAATCACATGAGCTGAATTCCTGTGTACCTATCGGTAGAGATAATAAAATATTAATAATAATTATTACTATTATTTTATTATATCTGCGGTCAGCGACCTGCATAATGTCTGGTTAATATATTACGACATAAATATTGAAGCAGTTAGATGTACATTTCTAAAATTATGTTTAATATTCAAAGGGATGATAACTTGCATGCATATTTGGATGAACAAAGTTTGTTTATTACATTTCATGAAAAACTAATTGATGTGACGCAAAACGACTGTGCATAACTGTCGACAGTCGGTGAATTTACCTGCCGCTAATGATTTATACACCTGCAAACAGGTGCGAAGTCAGGTATGACGTCATCCTATCCGCCATTATGACGTAATTGTTTGAACAATCAACATCCATATCTGTAAAGATACCTTAATGCAGCTGATTATACACAGCCAACATTTTATTGAATTAATCACATGTAATCGGTTGTTGGGCAAATATGTATTGAGTGAATCAAGAAGAGGGATTAAGAAAAGAGGGTAACGATTTTATGAGAGTCAGTGTAGTCATGTGTGAATTAGCGAGACAAGGAAGATGTGCGCATGGCGTATTTTGTGATGAAATACTGTATTTATCTCAAAATCTGAAATCCATATTTCACTCGAGTCAAATAATACCTTTTGTCGGAACAACTCTCTGATTGCATCACTGGTGCTGTGGTTTCCAGGCTACGTAAAAAAATACATAATAAACATGACAGTTGGCTTTTCTTTTTAACAGACTATAACATTTTCACTCGTAGCCACAGCGACTATAAAAATATATATTTTGTCATTTTACTAGATGAAAATGTTCATTGACAATAATCCCAATACGTCTTCCTCGCCTTACAGAATGCTGATGCAATAATTTATGTGATATTTCTTTATTTCTCGAAACAAAGATCTAGCAACACTCCAGATTATACGTGATATATCGATTTCCTGATTTCAATAAAGAAATGGCATCGGAATGAGTTTCAAAATTAGTGCACAAATGAGAATTAACGAACACTTGCAAAAGAAATTTCGCTTTTCATTTATATTAAGTGTGATTAGGAAATAGTTTTATTTGAGATAATTAAAATTTTAAGATTTTGTTATTGAATTACAGTTCAAAATGTTTTCAGACGTGAAAGGGGCATTAACAGTACATTCTGATAGGGCGCGCAAAAAGAAAAGGCTTTGATAAATTTCATTTACTCAAAATATTTCAATCTCGACGGGCCTCTTTAGTGTTTAGCTGGTTACGTAACACAGAGCATGGCTCGACATATTAATATTGGTTGGTGGTCATGCTCATTAATGACTTATGCCACTCTAAGGAGACAGACAGACAGACAGACAGACAGACAGTGTATTGGCATCACGCCTAACATATGTACAGTGTCCCGTGGGGGTTCCGGATAAGACTAGGTCCCCAGCAACCTGTGTGGGTCGTGAGAGGCGACTACACGGGCGCGTGGGTCAGACTCGGTGATTGGGTTTGATGCATGTCATCGTATCCCAATTACGTAGATCGATGCTCGTGATATCAATCAGTGTCGATTATTTACAAACCGCCGTCATATAGCTTGAATATTGCTGAGTGCGGTGTTAAATTAAACAAAGAAACCAACCAACCAACCAACAAACAAACAAATATATGTACAGTGAGACCTTGTCTGAAAGCCTTAAATAGTACTGACGTGTTCACTTTCCTATATACACGGACACCTTACCCCTAATTCATTCTAAGTGAGTGAGTTGAGTTTTACGCCGCTCTTAGCAATATTCCAACAATACCACGGCAGGGGAGAGCCGAAATGGGCTTCACAAACTGTACCAATTTTGGGGAACAAAGTTTTTTCGAAGAATTATATTCCGGAATGTTTTACTCGAACAAATACAGTCCGGATGATGGGTTTTTCGCTCTTCTTGATGGGGAAGCCAAAAAAGGGCTTCACAATTTTCCCTTTCGAACTAGGGCCTTCGGCGTGACAAGTGAAAGCTTTAACCATTATGCTACTCCATCTCTCATTTCAAAAGATGAACATGTTTATTTCATAAATGTGTATGTAAAACTGTGGGTTTAAATGTGTATTGGCGCATTGCAATTCATGAATATACATGCACGATGTTGCATCTTTTAATCTTGATCAACTCGGTGGTCCAATGGGTGGTCCAGTGTAGCGTTATGAACTCGACAGACTCCTTGTAGGGTTACATATTGACATCCCACTCATCTCTGGGTTTTCAGCAACCCATTCGTGCCGAAAGGGGCGACTATGCTTGTCGTAAGAGGCGACTAACGGGATTGGGTGGTCAGGCTCGCTGACTTGGTTGATGCATGTCATCGTGTCCCAATTACCTAGATCGATGCTCATGATGTCATTCACTGGATTGTCTGGTCCGGACTCGATTAGTTACACATTGCTGAGTGCGGCGTTAAACAACAAAAAACAAACAGACTTATCTCTAGACTGGTTCGCTATCCTCCACTAAGGATCGCAAGCCCTCTATTGCAGGCAATCCTCTCAACACTTATGTCGAACTGCGGATAGTTCGATATATGTTCGATAATTCAAGAGACTTCGAGGTGACAAAGAGTCAATGCGAAATCACTTGTTTCGCTGTTAAGGAGTTGCTAAACAATCTTATTAGTACATCCAGTTTTCCTTTATATAGGATATACCCTGACTAATGGCATACAATGTACACTACCTGACAAAAGAAAGTACACAATCATGTTTGGAGGTAGCTTAATTTCAATGTATTTGATACGGGGATCATAGTCGATATTACATGCTCCATATCAATGGGTATCTCACAACAGGTCAAATATTGCTGAGTGCGGCTTTAAACAACAAACAAATAAATAAGCCTGGTAAGCCTGGTCAGCCTGGTGACGTGTTATAACGTTTCTAATAATGTTGTTCAAATCCAATTTTAAAGTGTGAACTTTATTCTGCCCGCAGTTAACACGAAAATTAAAATTATGGCAAGTTTTCAAAATTTGCTTGATTAGAAAAGTTAGAAAAGTTCCCAATAATATTTAAAAAATACTGAATAAATCCATGGGGGTGCTCAGTTCCTTTAATTTATGTACTATTTTATATATGCTTTCAGAAACTGATCTACTTGTTTTATATGAAAATAATTCGGTGTTTCGCCGCAAATAATATTTAAACTAATTTATTTCATTATGATATATTTTATTGCACAGGAAGTATACCACCTCGAACGTCTTTCTCACGACATAAAACCGCTTGCACTCATGATCCCCATAATTAGCCCAACCTAAACTGTTTCTCAAGTCAACGATACCATCAATTCCATTTTCCGCTGTACTGCTCCTGGTCTGTTTAGAATTAGAGGCGTTATCCAAACTAAATTACAATGCCGAGGTATTTACAATGCTATCAAACGAGCGCCGCCGAATGAATGTCGGAATTGTTCCGTGATTAGTAATTAATCGTCATCAATCGGCTGTTAACGGCTAAGCCGAGCTACGTGTGGGGCGGGGCTCACCCCAGCGTAGGGGTGACGGGAGTATAGAAATGGGAGGGGGCGCCTGTAGGGAGCTGTGTTTTGGTGCCTGAATGCATTGATTGAAAAAGGGTGAATTCCAATCATTTGGGATTTTACACGGTGAATGTCCCCTATACATGGATAGTCTTTAATTATTGTATTAATCGGGCTGCGATCAACAAGTGCTTCCTCAGCCTAACAACTAGTTAAGGAAAACGTGCAGAAAGGCTGTAGAGATGCTGATTAGTTGACAGTTCAACCAGAAGTAACCCCTCCTTCTGCATCCCGACCCGTGATGATCCGGGATAAAATAGGTCTTCATCAACCCATGCTTGTCGTAAAAGGCGACCATGCTTGTCGTAGGTAAGAGGCGACCATGCTTGTCGTAAGAGGCGACTAACGGGATCGGGTGGTCAGGCTCGCTGACTTGGTTGGTGCATGTCATCGATCCCAATTGTGTGGATAGATGCTCATGATATCAACCACTAGATTGTCTGGTCCATACACGATTATTTACAGACCGCCGTCATATAGCTGGAATATTGCTGAGTGCGGTGTTAAACAACAAATAAACAAACAAACAACCCCGTATCGTATACACCAACCATCGAAACACCATTTCGTTTGTTTCATGTTTAGCCACAATCACACATGGGTGTAAACATACTTTTGCCATGCAGTTTATGTTATTATAGCGGATATCGAAACTTGTTAGGGATAGTTGAAGTCTTTAAACAGTGTATCTGGTTGTGAAATACCTTTAGATATCAAATGTCTATCATTCTTGGCTTATATACTGAGGAACAAAAGAAACTATTCCTCTCAGCTGATTTTATCATATGTTTGATTTTCAATTTGAAATATTTTAAGTTAGCGATATTACATAAAAATATAACTATGCTGGTGCTTAGTCCGCACCCAAAGAATACTTCTACATGGTTTTATTGGTAAAATATAATTTGGTTTAAAACTTTTAAAATTTCAAAACAAATTCGTATCATAAACAACTCAACTGCTAATGGGTATCTTAGACATCTTATTTTTGCCCCCCCCCCCCCCCCCCCCCCCCCAAACCAACAACAACAACAACAACAACATCTACTGGCTTCCATCCTCGATTATCCAGTGTATTTTATCTCCATTCTGTTACATGTACTCTCGACCCATTCACCACCATAGCTTTGTTTTTCAAGCAATGTCACCACCTCCATCGTTCCTATCTGTTATTGGGCACAGAAAGTTTCTCGCTCAGTAGAACGATTTCATTGGACGCCTATTTTATCGTCGTGCGAAACGAATCGGGCACAAAACGAATCTATGGTGGCGGATGGGTCACGGGTATATATTATATATAATAGATTTGAGATATAAAAAAAAAATACACTGGATCATGGAGGATAAATTGTGACTTTGTTCGAAATATCTCTCTGTTCACCCAGCAGTGAATGGGTACCCGGTAGGATGAAATGGTAGCATTGTAGCATCGCACATTATTATTATTATTATTTTTATTATTATTACTGTTGTTGTTGTTGTTATTATTATTATTATTATCCCGGCTCTATTTCAGCGCCGTCAAAAGCCATTGATGGAGAGGAAGCGCCGGGCGAGGATCAACAGAAGTCTTGAACAACTCAAAGACGTCATCGTCGACAACAACGGTGGTATTGTGAGTCGAGTCGAGTATTTTACCCCGAGAATAACACTATCGGAACGAAAACACTGTTAGGATTTAGTACAGTGTGTATAAGGCTAATAATTCGAGGGAGCCATTTAAAACCATATATTTCCTAGTCAGATGATTTTATGATGTACTCAAATCACAATACCTTGTTACTAAATTTATTAACCTCGTCTTTTAAAAAAATAACAAAACGACGCCAAGCGTATATTCATATGTAATGCATTGTTAGTTTTGAACACTATGTATGAGGAACACAAACTAATAGGCAATAATTATGACTTTTTAAAAATGGAAATATAAATTTGATGCTTCAAAGTTTTTCTGTTCAAAATCAATGACTCTGCTTTCTTTTCAGTTGCCCCGACTTGATAAAGCTCGCATACTGGAACTAACAGTGGATTATCTGCAGGCCAAGACACTCAATGGCCAGATAAGTACGTATGACATACAGCTTATGTCAATAGGGGACCACGGGGTGCCTAGTCGTTTAAGGCCCTGGGGTTTGCTGTTCAGAGTTGGGTCCCTTAGGCCTGTGAGACTAAGTGAGTTGGTTTAACTGAGACACCATGCCTCAGCTTAACACGGGACCCCACTCAAATACAGTATACAGGCTCCGAACTGACTAGTCCTTGTTTTATCCCCGCAATACAGAACGTCAGACAGGATAACAACAGATAATATCTTTTAAAGTATTTTGGTATGACGTGACCGGGCGTCGAACCCCAGACCTTCCTCTCCGATCAGACGCTCTGTCCACGAGACCACAGAGTCGGTTGTTAATTAGAACAGCATTACTGAAAATTGTAAATGAAAGTGTGTGCTATTTAAATACACGAAGAAAGAAAATTGCGCTGCGGGGAAAACGCATGTCGTTTTGTTCCTATGAAACACGTGAATGTTTATTGCTCTGACATAAAACTCAATGACAAATAGATTCCGGTAAATGCACACTGCAACTCTTTAAAGAGGAATTAAATCTTGTTCTTGACGATGCATTTTATTTTCACAAACTGTATGTCTACATATATGTGACCCGTGAAGACCCGGGGTAGAATATGTCTTCACTAACCCATGCTTGCCGTAAAAGGCGACTATGCATGTCGTAAGAGGCGACTAACGGGATCGGGTGGTCAGGTTCGCTGACTTGGTTGATGCATGTCATCGTATCCCAGTTGCGTAGATCGATGCTCATGATGTCATCACTGGATTGTCTGGTCCGGATTCGATTATTTACAGACCGCCGTTATATAGCTGGAATATTGCTGAGTGCGGCGTTACACAACAAACAAACAATATATATGTGTGTCATCGCAACAGCACAGTGCACGTTGAGTAACGTCCTCCTCTTTTCAGGTGCTGGCGATGAACGTTTCAAGGCTGGGTACCTACGATGTGTGAACGAGGTGACCTCATTCCTTCACGACAAGGTCGAGGACACCAGACTGACTCAAATTATCCAGCATCTCTTCACCCTCACTGCAAATATCAAAAGCAAGGTCAAGGCCATGAAGACTCCTGTCTCAAGCACGTCTCAAGGAGATGCCACACCATCCACATCAGGTTCGGGGGTCTCGATGGTGACCGAGACCTCAGCAACAAAATCCATATACGCTAGTCCTTCACAGCCATTAGGGATCCAGATGGTTGGAGGTATTAGACCGAATCTTGCACATCAAAAACCCACATCGATTATGACGAAGAAGGGTACATATGCATCAGCGTCACTATTGTCTAGCGCCTCTTCCTCATCATCGTTGACCTCCTCCTCCTCATCCTCATCATCATCATCATTATCATCATCCATTAAGACAGATGCAGTTCATCAATCTACAGTAGCTGTCATTAAAAATATGACGTTGCCAGATACATTATCAAAGGGCAAGGTCAAAGTTCAAGGTCATTACATGACACTCATCAAACCGCCATCTTCTTGCCTCTCGACGTCAGTAGACACACATTCTACCCAAACTACACAGCAATCATTTAATAAAACGCAGTTTTTTAACTGGCGTAGGAAGCAAGAGCACCTATCACAAGGAGTTTCATCACGGTTGCCAAACAGGATGGTAAGCACGGACGTCGTAAGGGCGAGTCGTGGCGCCTGCAGCAGGGAGGGTGTAGAAGAAAAACACCCTGCTTCTAGAACAAGGCGATATGGGTCTGTATGCTCGGCATATTCCGGACAATCCTCCACTGATTCCGACATGTCCGCGGACGACGAAGACGTCATCATGACAGAAACGTCGCCTGGTCATCAAGGATCAAATGTGCCGAATAAGCTTGACGTGGACCGTGACATCAACTACGACATGTCTGACTCTGACGACGACTTGTCCTTAGAGTCAGAGGTGTTTATAATGGACTCTGAAGATGAGGCATCCTCTGGTAACGATGTGCCTGGTAATAACAGTGGCATTTCCACCTCGTGCTCAAACTCACAGAATGCACAGCAACGGGTCTTCGTGCGTGATGGCGCGGAAGAAAGACCGGAGACGTCAAGGTCACCAGTTTGGCGGCCATGGTGACACGTCAGAGACGTAACGTATGTTTATGTATTCGAGTGAGTGAGTTGGGTTTAACGCCGCTTTTAACAGTATTCCAGTTATATCACGGCGTGTCAGCTTGATGTGGGAGGAAAGCCCGAAGTGATGCAGGTCTCAGACGTTCACCACTTTGGTGAAACCCACGAGCACGGGTATGGTGCTGACAAACCTAGAAACATAATCGGGGCGACTGGCCACCCGTGCCCCCTTTATGTATTCGAAGATAAATACACCATGAATATGATATGTTTGAGAGACATGGGTAAGGGGTCATATTATCAAAACGTTAGCACATGAAAATCTGGCTAGTTTTGCCTTATATTTACGGGATCCCTTCATACTAATAATGCACATCACAAGATGTACGAATGGACATTCAAGAGCCAGTCGATTAGATCAACAATCGAATAGTTCGCTCGTTTCGCATAATGTTATGTTCTATTCCATTCTATTCCATTCTATACATGTACATATATGTCACTTCTTGGTATCTCTGCAGAAGTTTTACTGAAATATTGCGAAAATAGTTACTTATTTTTTATGGGGTATTGAGACCATAGCACGAGGCTTGTCAACGCACGCGTCTTCTTAATGATCTGTTTTTGTAGCGGCAATTATCATGATTACTGCCTATCGAATATTTAACTTTATTTACATGTAGGTTTTCAGTATTCAGTATTAATTATCACAATATAAAGTCAATGTGTATGATAATTGTTATTTTCGAGCGATCCACTTGATGTAATTGAATAATAAGCTTCTGAGTTTATTCCAATTGTGTAAATAGAAACGAAATGCATGACACTGTACACTTTTAATAGCAAATAAAGTCCTACCAAAATTGACATGTTCAGTTAAATGTCGCTGTCGAAGACGTTACAAGATGTGACAGTCAAATCAAAGTGAAATGGTTGGGATTAATGATTTTCCGGATTATCGAATAAGTGTTACGTATATCTTTTGGATATATGTTTGTTTGTTTGTTTGTTTGTTTAACGCCGCACTTGGCAATATTCCAGCAATATGACGGCGGTCTGTAAATAATCAAGTCTGGACCAGACAATCCAGTGATTGATACATGTAATCCTTCCAAACAAAAATATATAAAAAAATTCATAAAATTAATATATTCCACAGTCATGGTGCGGGACTACGTCTAGATATTCGCGATGGCTTCCGAAACGCGCGCACACTGATGAATATCTCCAGGACCTTCTTCAGGTCGTTCAGACACCTCTTTCAATTGTGAAACACCTGTATTGACAGGAGAAGATGTTTATGTTGTCAATTTAATGTTTACAAATATCTGCCCGGTATAATTTTCGACACTGGATATTTGCTATAATTAATAGGAACACTATCTCCAAATTTCCTCACAGACGCCATAACGCTTGGAACACCACCGAGTTGTCATTCTATTCAGGTAAATTAACGGTTAACTGTTCATCGATACCCCAACAAACAGCGTTTCAGTAAACGCGCACAAAACATGTCAGTCCAGTTTAAACCGCGTGCTAAATGACCTGAGGTCAGGAGGATCGGGTCACGGCAAGCTGTTGATGTTAAATCTGTTTCGTGTTTGTATAAACTGCACGCACCCCCACAAGACGAAGGCCGTCCCCTGATATCGATAGGATCAGTGATTTAGGTGAGGAGTGCTTGTAATTTGAAGTGTCGAATATAAGCTCTTTTTGACACTTCGGAATGCTGATTATAAGAGAGCGATGTCGGTTTGACACCGCGGGACGGCACACGTGAGAGTTTTGGAGTTGATCCAGCTAAACACTGCCAATCCTTGACACCCCCAGGATTAATATCACTCACGAGGGATCCTTGTGTGGACAGGTTTTATTTTGTAATTTTAGGACTTGACAAGTTTCATCCCTCGCAATGCTAGCAATCTTCACCAAGAGCGTATGGTTTGCACAGCTAAGATTCCCGGATGTAAATGATCAGGGAAGATAGAAAGAATGGACATGGCTGGCATCGTAAATGCATTTTTTTATTATCATGGAGAGGTTTTTGTGGCTTTTGTTTAGAATGTCCGATAGCTCTTTGAAGGAGTGAGTGAGTTGGGTTTAACGCCGCTTTGAACGGTATTGCAGTTATATCACGGCATGTCAGCTTGATGTGGGAGGAAGGCCCGAAGTGATGCAGGTCTCAGACGTTTACCACTTTGGTGAAACCCACGTGCTCGGGTATGGTGCTGACAGCCCTAGGAAAATAATCGGGGAGAACCGGGATTCGAACCTACGATCTTAGGTTTCGGGGAGGCAACTCTACATAGCCGACTGGGCCACCTGGGCCCACTTGCACAAAGCGATCTTAGCGCTACGACTATTGTAAGCCAATGTTAAAGTATGGGAGTTACGATCATCGCTTTGTGCAAGTTTCCCTCCTTCACGGAAGACATTATGTTGTTTTAAAATCTTTGAAATCAACATATCGTACAGAAAAAAATAGTTAAATTATCTTAATACAAATTTAACAGAAAGGAGCCCAGAGACTCTTGATACAGCAGAAATCTAGACTTGCCAAATATTATGGACTTACATGGGCTGTATTTGATATATTTGTATCAGGGTCTGTAAGACAGATCAACAGCGGATGGTTTATACGTAATGCCATCGGTACCTGGTTGTCGCCATATTCTTAGATTTGCTCGACTGTCATGCTCCCACATCAAGTCAAGGTGTAGATCATTTAATCAACACCTTAATTATGTATCACTTTTTCGTTAGGAATTATTAGTAGTTAAAAAAGGTAACAAACTTAGGCGTTGTTCAGATCGGCAATATTACTTCGGTTTCTCCTTTGGTGGGGCAACTACGAAGATTGACATCATACAAGGTCCAAGGTAACAATGACCGCTTGGGAAGCATACAGGTTCCATGGTGACTGCATACAGGTTCCATGGTGACTGCATACAGGGTCCATGGTGACTGCATACAGGGTCCATGGTGACTGTTTACAGGGTCCATGGTGACTGTATACAGGGTCACTTGTGACTGCATACGGGGTCCATGGTGACTGTATACAGGGTCCGTGGTGACTATATACAGGGTCCATGGTGACTATATACTTGGTCCATGGTGACTATATACTTGGTCCATGGTGTCCCTATACAGGGTTCATGGTGACTATATACAGGTTCCATGGCGATCGTATACAGGGTTCATGGTGACTATATACAGGATCCATGGCGATCGTATACAGGGTCCATGGTGACCGTATACAGGGTTCATGGTGACTATATAAAGGGTCCATGGTGACTATATACAGGTTCCATGGTGACTATATACAGGTTCCATGGTGACAACATACAGGGTCCATGGTGACAACATACAGGGTCCGTGGTGACAACATACAGGGTCCATGGTGACAACATACAGGGTCCATGGTGACAACATACAGGGTCCGTGGTGACAACATACAGGGTCCGTGGTGACAACATACAGGGTCCGTGGTGACAACATACAGGGTCCATGGTGACAACATACAGGGTCCATGGTGACAACATACAGGGTCCGTGGAGACAACATACAGGGTCCGTGGTGACAACATACAGGGTCCGTGGTGACAACATACAGGGTCCATGGTGACAACATACAGGGTCCATGGTGACAACATACAGGGTCCGTGGAGACAACATACAGGGTCCGTGGTGACAACATACAGGGTCCATGGTGACAACATACAGGGTCCGTGGTGACAACATACAGGGTCCATGGTGACAACATACAGGGTCCGTGGTGACAACATACAGGGTCCATGGTGACAACATACAGGGTCCGTGGAGACAACATACAGGGTCCATGGTGACAACATACAGGGTCCGTGGTGACAACATACAGGGTCCATGGTGACAACATACAGGGTCCGTGGAGACAATTGTACGTACAGGGTCCGTGGTGACAACATACAGGGTCCGTGGTGACAACATACAGGGTCCATGGTGACAACATACAGGGTCCGTGGAGACAATTGTACGTACAGGGTCCGTGGTGACAACATACAGGGTCCATGGTGACAACATACAGGGTCCGTGGTGACAACATACAGGGTCCATGGTGACAACATACAGGGTTCGTGGAGACAATTGTACGTACAGGGTCCGTGGTGACAACATACAGGGTCCATGGTGACAACATACAGGGTCCGTGGTGACAACATACAGGGTCCATGGTGACAACATACAGGGTCCGTGGAGACAACATACAGGGTCCGTGGTGACAACATACAGGTTCCATGGTGACAACATACA